ACATTCAGAAAGAATGTTAGGTGTACCAGGTGTTAAGCAGAGTACTTAATTTTCACGTTATTTAATATCCTAACTAAAATGCTTCAGATACATCTGTGTCCCCTAAGTATATGGAAAACTGACATACATAAATAAATTATGGACAGTAATTTATATAGACTAAGTTTGGGAATAATTTCTCTGGTGACAAACTCAGCCACACAACAGAGGGTATATTTGCACAGACCATTTCAGACAAACTTATACTTTTTTATAGTCTATGACAGTGAGAGAAGCTTACTGATGGGTTGCAGCACTACTTATATGACTTCTAGATGCCAGTCTTCATGGTCAGGCTATATAGTTCTGCCCAGGAGAAAAAAAAAAAAACAAACACAAAACACCAAAACAAACACAAACAAACAAACAAACAAACATACCATAAAGAAACACATTCTAAACATCAATGTAAAAGCAAATACTGACATGTGATGTATCTACCAACACATATTGTATAATTAAAATCCTGAGAGAAGGCACAAAACTATTTGTTTCAAAGGACAAGATTGGAGAATGAAGGCTAGCAAAATGAATTAATAAGCGATAGATCAGCAGCTTGGTAATGAATAAATGATGCCAGGAAATATCACCTATGAAAGGCCTCGAAAGTAAACATGAATAACCTGCTTGGTGCAATAAAAAGTTACCACAGACTTTGAAAATGAGATAAGCAGCTGCATTCTGAAGAGATATGAAAGGCCTATAGCACATGCTCAGAAGACTGCAGAAAAAACACACTGACAACTTTATGAGATTTAGCTACCTGGAAAGACAACACCATAATGCATCTTAACATTATCCTGCAAGATAAGTGAGAAAAATTCAGACATAGCTTGACTGAAGTATGTTTCTCGTACAAGTACGTGGTGTCCAGGTCACACAAAAAAGCTACAAGAATAATTCTGGTATAATTGTGACAGATCAACGGATGAGTTACAGAAATGAGGAAAACCTGCCTTTAGTCATGTTGAACATGAACTGTTTATTACTCATAATGCCACAGATATAATGACTGAGACACATATCACCTAAGTTTTGATGTCTATGTCATCAGTGTCTACAGCTGAGCCAATCCAGTTAGCAATTGAATTTGTGTCTATGAATGAGGAACACAGAATGAAATGGAAAGAAAAGCCTTCATATGACAACAGTTAATAGGCTTTAAAAGGAAAGGGAATAGAATAGCAAAGTACTACTCCAATTAAAAAAAAATAAAGATTTATTTGTTAATTTAGAGGCATCTTGTTCTAGCCTATCAATAACAGAGTTTTGAGAAACACAGAAGAATTAAGTAGTGGTTACCAAAGCATGAAAGCTCAAATTTCTTAACTGTGAAAATATATTGCAAACTTCAAAACTGGATGACAAAGCTCACTTTAGATTTGAAGGTTATTTTTCAACCTTAGGTATCAGAGTAAGAATAAGGATTTTATGTCTGGAAAAAAAATGGATGCTGAGCTCTGTATTATTAAATGATAGTTGGAATTGATATTAGATGATGGGTGGAACAATTGAGCCTAGTTTCTTTTACTGGTTTTGACTTACGGCTTTGCAATTTGAAAGAGTACAGGCTCCAACCAAATATTTCTAGCAATTGGAGCATTTTAAAGAAATTTTCTTTTTTTTTTTTCCTTTTTTTTTTTTTTTACACAGGTTACCAAATGCCTAACAAGGTATGTGCTTATATGATTACTGTAGGGTCTGTTTCAGCTGGCCATTTAAAAAAAATGTAGAAACACCATTATATTTGACACTTCTTTCTCCACCTTCTGTGGAATGAGAGACAATACAAGTATTGTCTCAAAAAGTAAATAGGACAGAGTTCAGCACTGAAATTTGGGACTCATGAGTTAAGATTAATTTGGCATTTTTAGCAGACAATGAAACAACTATAGGAACACTTGGAGAATGCCTGCTTGGTTTCAGCAATGACTCACTATAAGTGCCAAGAAGCAGATAATGATAATCCCATGCCTTTCTTTTCTACCTCCCTGCACTCAGTCTCCTCTCTCCCACCCCAGTAATGAGCAATGGATTCCCTCTGAATGGTCAAATATGACTTGGGCATGTTTTAAACAACTTTCAAAAGCATTTGAAAAATAGCATCAAAAAATGCACTCTGCAGAAGTTATTACATAATTTATTATGGATTCTTTGATAATTATTATATTATTTATTGGATAACATTGTGAAAGAGTAAGGATTAGACCTTAGGCGTTGAAGCATATGGCTTTACCTTAGTTCAGTGCTAGGCAAAGTAACACCTGATCTTTTAAAGATCCATTTCTTCCACACTGTACATGAAAGTTAAAATAATTAAATACTCAGGTAGCATGCATTTTTTGCACGCAGTTCCTAGACTCCGTCACCATAGAACATAGCTTCTAGTTTATGTGTGTTATGATGGAAGACATTTAAACCTGAGCTGATATATGAGCTCAAGTGCTTCAATTTTAAGGTAGCAGACTTGAAGGTGTCTTACAAGAGTTTGAAGGCTTAAGTAACATTTAGAAACTAATAATTTTCACCATGAGAAGACAAATGGTAGTAGCTCTTTAAAACTTCATCCAAAATGAAAGATGGCATAGGAACAGCTATTCTGACCTACACAGTACCTTTATCAAAGACTTCTTGGGAGCAAATATTATTCACATTCATTGACTGCTGATATCTCTATTAATTTGATCTTTTGTTTTTGTTGCTTATAAGACAAAAACTGCTGTTGTATATGAATTCTCCAGGAAAAAAGTCAGAAAAGTCTGTGAGGAACAGTTATGAGGATTATCTTTGTTGCATTCACTACAACACACCAAGGACTGTGACTTTCCTTTTTACTTCCTTCCTTTACAAAGGGCAGACAGCTGTATAATCTAAAGATTAGATACATTACAGCAGATTAAAGTAGTTGCCAGCCTGAATAGTCTGGACATGGCCAATGCCACGTAAGTAAGAAAACTTACAGCAGCAAAACTGTGAAAAATACAGCTCAGTTGGAAGACTTTTCTTAATTATTCTGAAGCTACTGGACTGCTCTCTACCCTGGAGCATACAACTTTCATCACACAAGAAACTGTTACATACAAATACAACTGCACACTTTTCCATATAGTTCCATAACTCAAGTTTATTTCCATATACTTGAATTTACTTCAAGTTGCTGTTGCAACACCAAATGACGCTGTGCTCTGCATGTCAGTTATCACTGGTTACTAATTTTTTCCTACCACTTCTAGAATTTCTGTCTGTCTTTTAATTACAAAACTTCTGGGTTCACTTTGTGGGTGGAAGGAAACAGACACAGTAAGACCTCAAAACTGAGGGTATTTTCCCTTCATTCTATATAATATATGGGACTATTTTCTTGAATAAACCTCTCCTTGAAAGCATTAAAGGATAGTGATGGTAACTGGAAGGCTTATAACACTAGGAAAAGAACTGTGCAAGTAGGGTTCAAATAAGTAAGTTGTGTTCAAGTTAAAGCACCACAAATACAACAAAATGTTTTGGTATCTAACTAGCCTATTTTTCCATCCTTCAAAATCCTTCTGAAATTTTGAAAAGTCATAAAGAAGAATAAGAAAAAACAGGTCAGCATGAGGGAACAGTTTCAATGTATTTGTTTTTAAACAGCATAAAATAACGATAAAATTATTTCTAGAGTACTTAGTAATAACCTAGAAAACCAACGCCATTATTTTCTGTATTCATGGGATAAAACTAGCAGCAGTTCAGAACTGCTGTTTAACTTAATATTTTTAATGAATTTCAGCATACTGCTATTAGCAGCTTTTTAATTACAAGTGTTGTATACACACATACCAGTGAAATTAGATACTTTGCAGTCTTACAGTATTAAGGTTCTTAAATCATGCCAGTGCAGATGTTCCTAATTACTTTAAAGCACAAATACACAAATCAGTTGTTTCCAGCTCTAGCATAATTCAGTTAAAGGAGTTTTTACAACTGAAAAAAATGAATAATAGTTAAGCATAGCTAAGGTGGGAAATTGTTAGGAAATAATTATGTACAGTTTACATAAGGGCAGGAATTCAAGTCCATCGGAGGCAGATAAGAAGCTGTGATTTGCTTGAGGCAAATATAAAATACTGCCAAATGAAGGTGACACTATCAAAGACACATCAAAAACCAACAAAAGCATTTATTTCTCAGCAGCGATCATAACTTTACAAACCCACATTACTGGGACTTGAAGTTTTTGCAGGTCATTGTGCAGACTTTTGCTTTGGGGAGGTTATCCTTTTTCTTTAAGCTTCCAAACAGAGTCTAACTCCACCCCTACTTTGTATTGTTTCTTGAAAAAAGAAATGGTAGGTAATGTAATACAGCATTAAATCAACAAAGAGAAGCTGAAGCACACAAGCTGCAGATGCAGGCAGACCCTCTCCATGGGTAATATCTCTGGCAGGAACACCCTTATGCACCCTCTCCTGTTGGGCTCTGGGCTTCCACAGGTAAAAGTATAATGCCAATATTTCTTCCAGAACAGCATGTTTTATAATGCAATTAGCATGTAGATATATTTTGGTTTCTATATGAAATAGTGAAAAAGGTGGTCATTTAACTGATAAAACACAATATATACAACCATACACTGTGTGAATAGACATACTGCTTTCTTACCTTCTGTATTGTCTTTAAAAAACTGTCAGACTGATGGGATATATAGTAAAGTTCCAGGTCACAGAAATTAGCTACCATAACATAAGGCATTTCTATATGCATTTAAACAGCCGCTATATGCACATAAAAATTAATACTATGCATTTTTCCTTATATTTTTATTTAGATTAAGTCAACATTAGGTGTACAAGAATGGCTTTGTTTTGATCAAAGCTTTACAATAATATTAAACAAGAAGAAAAAAATAAAAGAGGGAAAGAAGAGCAGAGAAATCCAGCATAACCAGATTTTAAAACATGACTGAAATGAGTTCACTGTACCTTGAGTCACCTGTTGGATGGCTAGCATCATCCCAGAAACGGTATCAGGAATCAAATTTTCCTTCCAATTGTAGATAGGCATCCATTTCAAGATGGGCAGCCTTCTCATACACCAGATTTTGATATCTTCAAAGCGAACAGCCTGCATCTTCCTGCAGACTGCATTTCTTTTGCTTTTTTCTCCTGTCATCTTTCCCAGCCCTCAAAAGCAGTTTCTCTTTTAGAAGAGTGCACAGCTGAGGAATCGCCCTGCTTTGTCAGTCTCCAGTTCTCTTCAGAGATTTTGTAGTTCCAAAACTACACAGAAAAAAGAAACAATGAACAGAAGCACTTCAGATTTCTGCAGCTGCTGACTATACTCAATCAAAACACTTATTAAATGCTCAATCATATAAACAGCTACATGAAATGTAAGAGCTGTTTATTTCAAGGATCACATTTTCTGCTCTTTGTAAAGAATTTGGTCCAGTCTCATGTTAGTTTGCGATTCTTTCCAGTAACCTCCCGCTTTATATTCACTGTAATGCTTGTGCTTTTGGCCTCAGTCCAGTGGCAAAATTATTGGGTGTGTATTACTGGGTGTGTGTGCGATACAGGCTGGGCTATGCTAATATGAGCAGGAAGTGCCCAGAAGAGCAGGCATCTCCCTGCCAAGCCTTGCCTCTTCTAGAAGATCTTTTCTGGCTGCTGATGGAAGGCAAGAAGTCCTCAGCAATGCTGGGGCTAGCAAACTCGGTTTAGTCCATCAATGTTCTGTATTCTAAATGACAGCAAAAAGCTGATTTATGTAGAAAACACAGAACATCAGGTAGCAGAAAATATACACATTTTCTGCTGAAAATATACATATTCTGTCTGTAGAAGAAGCCTCAGACAAAAGTGTAACAAGCTCAAAGCGTAGTGAAGACTGCAGCCATCAGCTCCACATGGCATCATTGTTCAAGGCTACTCCTTTTTGCTCTTGGCAGTCCATCCAGCAAAGGCTCTCTCAGCAAAGACTGTTCATCAAGTAGCTTCTGATCTTGTAATAATATCATGCACCTTGTGTATGGTACAGAGTGCTCAGACACAAAGTGATAAGAGCATGGAAGAACTTTAAAAGTTATTAAGCATTTAAATGCTTTGTCCGATATGGAGCAAGGACACGGTGGCTTTCCTCCGAGTGTTTTTGTGTCTCTGAATGACAAAGAAATTTAAGTTAAAGTGTAAGACCCATCATATGAGCAAAATGTCTTCCCAATCACTATTTTGCAGACGGCAATAATTTTTTTTTAATATTTCCATTTTATTTATATAAATTACTTTATATTTTATTGTTTAGTTTCAGATGAACAGAACTGAAGTTTTGTCCACCCAAAACAACTTCAGAAAACTGAGACTTTGTTTCCAGATGCAATAGGGAGAAAAGCACAAGGACACATGCACCACAGTTCATTCTGCTGAGTGGCATTCAGGTGGTGTCCGCTTCTGTGTCCATTGTAAGTGCAAAGGGGAAAAGAAATAACAGGAAAAGATTGCTTAAGGCAGCCTCTCACTTTTAACTATCCCAAGCATACTTATTCTTTGCCTTGCCGATCCTTTTAACTATGTACATTTTTTAAAGAACAGAAGAAACACAACACAGATTTCTCCTTCTTACTTCTATTAAAGAGAATAAATCTCTATGCATCTATTCCTTTCTTCTTTTTTTTCTTTTTTCCTTCTTTCTTTTTCTCTTTTTCTCTTTTGATGTGGCATTTCTGGTTCGGATTTTGTGCATGTGTCCCTGCTCTTAGCTCAAAAGTGCAGTTCAAGGACTTCATAATCAAGGCTTTTATAGCTACCAAGTGTTTTACAACACAGACCTTTCCCTACTTTCAATAATCAGAAGTGGACAGGAATCTTTCTGGCTACAGCAGGAGTTACTCAGCTGTCAGGGGCAGCTTAGTTTATATAAAATGTTCAATACTTCTAACTATAATAGCATTTACTGGGGCAAAACCAAAACATTTCTACACATAGATACATATGTATAAAAATGTACATATGTACAAATACCCAAATATGGGTATTACTGTAAAAGGAAACTGGTGTTCTTTTTTTTTTTTTTTTTAATGGCTCACTAGAAGTTCTGAAAATTATGAAACAGTGAAAAAAAAAAGACATTACAAAACCAAAGAACCATCTCAAGAACATGTTCTCCATTTGCCAAATTTTTCACATCAAAACGTTGAGGCTGTTTGAAACAGTGTATAATTGAGATTTTCCCACCTCATATTTGCAGAGTCATCAATCCCAGATTAGTGTCTGAACTCCTAGGATTAGCTATATCAACAGACTTTTGTCCCTCACTGACAACAAGGGATAGTTTCTCTCTATGGGTGTGTGCATGAGTGAGTGCAAACATCTTACAAATAACACTTGAAAATAAGCCCTGTTAGATACAGACAGAACTGCATGTGCAAATCCTTGGGATGCTTGTTCTAATGTGGAATTTGGAAAATAAGCCCTGTTAGATACAGACAGAACTGCATGTGCAAATCCTTGGGATGCTTGTTCTAATGTGGAATTTGTGCTGAAAATTTGTTTTACTCCAGCAATTACTTTGACGAGTAAAAAATTGCATTATCATTAAATCTGGAGTTGATATCATCAGTAGTCTTGAAAATCATTGTTTCTTGTTATAACTTTAAAATTAATAAAGTACCCTTAGTTAGCAATGACACAAAGCAATGTATCACTTACAACCCTCCAGACAAAGAAGTCAAAAATTTTAAGGATGTACAGGTATTCATAACAGCAAGCCTGTACCTCCCTACACAGTAGTCCAACATATAAACTTTAAAGAAACATGAAAAAGAAACTTTCCCAAACCACACCAATAGCCTGAAATACATAAATGTTTAAAAGTTTTCACATTAGGAGGTTTTTGTTAACCTATAAATCTATAAACTCCCAGACTATGCAGACTTTTCAGACTTCAAATTGTGTCAGAATGCACCTGAGCTACCAGAACTATGAGAAGCTCTCTTTTTCTAAAACAGGTGCGTAAAAGTTAGTACTCTGGAACACCAGAAGATAAGTTTGAGAAACATTTGGCTTTATACATATAAGTCAGTGTATTCACATACACACACAGTGTTGCAAAGTTAGATGTTTAACAATTAGCTCTTGTGATGATCTTATATAAGTAAAGCCTATTTTCAAGTGATTAGACAGGGTTTTTTTCTGGGAGACACACAAAATTATGATTCTAGTAGTGTATATATGCACAACGTTAAAAAGATAACTATCATAAGTCAAAATTCCAAATACAGATCTTATATAAAAAGAAAGAATTACTGCATCATAGATCAGATCTGGTGGGCTTTTCAAACCTGATTTGTAGCAGGTTCCATAGAAATGATGTGGGCACAGAAATGAGAGGACACTATATTTTCATCAGCTCCTCTAACATTTACATACATTGGGTATTTACATGTATGGTGGACACATGGAGGTAGGAGGTTTGATTCTCTGGTTCTTGCATCAAAAGATTAAAAAAATTATCAAAATACAATCTAACACCTTACTCCTACTTAGATCTCAAGAAGAAAAAATTCTGGCAAACTCTGAGATAGAAGTCCTAATCCTCACTTTATATGGAAGCAGCTTTGGTAGTTAAACACTGTGCTCTTGCCCAAGAGCTGGTTTTAGTCTCCACATAAACTGTCAGGAAAGCTCAAGAACTATAAGACCTATACTTCTGTTTACATATGCTCAAAGAAATTAAGTTATTCATACCTTGGGCAGACACAGGTGCCATGATGGAAATAAGGTGTCATTCCTCGTAAGTTTTCTTGGAAAGACAGATCACTTACTGAAAATCTGCAAACATCCAATATTAGATCAATTTGGCTTAACTAAACCTGTATTCCTTCTGATGTGTGTCATTTGCCCCCCAAGAAGTTCTAGTGCATCCATGTCACTTCCCCACATCCTTCCACCTATTTTCAGTGGGCAAGAAAAAGTACGTGCTCTCATTAATTCAGAGCTACATCCACCTTTCTGGCTGGCTGGCCACTGCCAGAATATACATATGATTGAGCTCTGAATATGTACTGAATATATAATGATTGAACTTTTCTCACCTATTCTTCAGAGGAGAAAGTAATTTCCACTCATCCTCACCCTCTATCCTGAGCAACAATCTCTATGAACTCACTTTTGATACTGCTGTCTTTCTGTCAAATACAGTTCACAATGGACAAAGGATTAAGAAAATACTAGCTGAAAGAATTAAGAAAAAAAGACTGGCAAAAATCCTAGTCACACAAAGCTTGTGACTTTAGGAAAGACAGCTAAAAATCCAAGCAAAATCCTAGGAAAAATTCCAAGTATATTTGACAAAGCACAGCTGGATGGGAATGGAAATCAGATTTAAAGTAAGGGTGATAGGTACTAGTTCAAAAAGACAAAAAAAGTGTAGTTCATACATCACAGAACACAGCACATGGGAATATTACACAGCCTACTGGAATGTTAAGAGATTGCTCACAAATGGAACAACAACAACAAGTGACAAAAATACCTTAGAAAAGCATTCTTGAAGTCTGAGAATTCGTAAAAAAAAAAAAAAGTTATCAATCACGTGAATTACATAAACCCAGCTGGGGTTAAACTGCAACAGCAGGCCACAGAAGTTTAAATATGCATGTTATTTACTACCAAAATTTAAGGAACTTCCCCCTCTAAAATTCTGGTGCATTAAAATCAAACCAAACTCACAAATTCCAAAGCTTGCCAATGTATCTTCCACAGTTGTATGCAATGCAGTTATTTTCAGCAATACATAACTTTAAAAGCACTCCTGATTTCAATCATCAAATATTTAAATGTGGACCTAAATTGAAAAAGATAAGTTTCTTACCCTTCACAAAACAGTTTAAGCTAAAATCTCCATCCCTTCATCATGCAGGACGTTTAGGACCTGCTATGGGGACAGTAATAACTCTTTTGTCACAGAGTAATCCTAATTATTCACGAGAGAAAGGTGAGCATCCAGGCAACACAGAAGTCAGACCTGACTCAGATGGCTTGGGCTGGGATTTAACATCTCTTTGCAGCACCGTTAATGAGGCTGGGCTGCAGGAAAAGTGTGTGAAGCAACACTGACATCGAGTGGCTTTGCTTGGTATTTGCCACACAGGTGCTAAGAGAAAAACTTTATTGGGAAACTACGTTAAACAATTTTAGAATATCTAAAATGAGCATAAGAAACCCATTAGTGTCCATCTTTTTTTAGCAAAACATCTGTAAAGAAAATGTATTTTT